GAGGAGGACGGGTCACAGACAATTGGATTTGTCAAGTGCAGGTTATTAGTGACCTTGATTACAGTAATTTTGTTGAAGGAGTAGAGGCAAAAGCTTGATGGGAATTCAATAGCGAGAACTGCAGGAGAGAAATTGAAGACATTGAATGTGGACCACTTTCTACTGGGACCAGAGAAATAGGGCAGTAGCTGGAGGTTTTTAAAGACAGAATGTATACACATATAATCAAAAGAGAGTTTTTTAAAAAACAGAACATATAGCACACACAGAGCAAATATGTGTGCTGAAAGACCTTACCAAGTTGAGATTGAAAAATAAGCAATGGAACAGAAATGACATGATAAAAATGGGGCAAAGACTGTAACAGACACCTCACCAAAGAAGATATTCAGGTGGCAAATAAGCACATGAAAAGATGCTTCACATAATATGTCATCATGGAAATGCAAATTAAAACTACAGTGAGATAGCATTACATGTCTATTGGAATGTTCAAAATCCGGAACACTGAAAACACCAAATGCTGACGAGGATGCGGAGCTACAAGAACTCACTCATTGCTGGTGGGAATGCAAAATGGTGCGGCCAGTTTGGGAGACACTTTAACAGTTTCTTACCAAACTAAACATCTCTTCCCATGCGGTCTAGCAATTGTACTCCTTGGTATTTACCCAAGGGAGCTGAACACTTATGTCCACCCAAAAACCTGCACGTGAATGTTTATAGCAGCTTTGTTCATAATTGCCCAAACCTGGAAGCAACCAAGATGCTCTTCAATAAGCGAACGGATAAATTAGTTCATCCAGACAGTGGAATATTATTCAATGGTAAAAAGAAATGAGTTATTGAGCCGTGAAAAGGCATGGAGGAAACTTAAATGCATATGTCTAAGTGAAAGAAGCCAATCTGAAAAGGCTACATAATGTATGATTCCAATTATATGACATTCTGGAAAAGACAAAACTACAGAGACAGTAAAGAGATCAGTGGTTGCGAGGGGTTAAGGGGGAGGAGGGATGAATAGATGGAGCACAGAGGATTTTTAGGAGAGTGAAAATATTCTGTATGATACTACAATGGGGCTTACATGTCATTATACATTTGTCCAAACCTATCGAATGTACAACACCAAGAGCGAACCCTAGTGTAAACCGTGGAGTCTAGGTGATGACAACATGTCAGTGTAGGTTCATCAGTTGTGACAAATGCACCATCTGGTGGGGATGTTGATAATGGGGGAGGATGTGCATGGTGGGGGGCAGGGAGTATAAGGGAAATCTCTGCACCTTCACCTCAGTTTTGCTGTGAATCTAAAACTGCTCTAAAAGCTAAAGTCTGTTTAAAAAATAAACGGTGCAGGAGACAGAGGGAATACAGCTGGAATAATGTCTTGATTAGGCTGCATATTTTCCTCCAGTCCTGTTTCTTAAATCTCGGTCACACCCAAACTTCTTGAAAGAGTTGACGACAAAGTCAGTGTCCACTTGGTCATCTTCAGTGGACTCTTGCCCAGTGTGTCCACTACTCCACTGTAACTCCTTCTGCTAAGGTCACAAGGATCTCCATGTCGCCAGTTCCAGTGCACATTTATCAGTCTTCATGAACCACTTGTGGTCCCAGAAGCACCAGTGGCCCAACTGCAGGGCCAGCCCTGGTATTCACTGTGCTCCTCTCCCTCTCTCTTCCCCCACAACCATCCAGAAAAATCATACCAAGTGCATTCTGTCTGCAGTATTTTCTACTTCCACTGTCTAGTTCATATCTTCATCGTCTCTCACTAGAGTTTTTCCAGGCATTTTTAAATTGATCTCCTAACTCCACTCTTGTTTTCTCACTCCCATCCCACCTTCAACTCATAGCACCAAATTATCTCTTAAAAATCTCACTGCCATTCAAAAATCAATGAATGTAATCCATCACATTTACAAGCTAAAGAGGAAAAATCACATGTTCATATCAATAGATGCAGAAAAAGCATTTGACAAAACCCAAAGTCCGTGATTAAAAACTCTCACCAGACTAAGAAGAGAGGGGAACTTCTTCAACTTGATAAAGAACATCAACAAAGACCCTACAGTTGATATCATGTTAACTCTACAGTTAACGGTGAGAAACTAGATGCTCCCTCCATCATCAGGAACAAGGCAAGGATGGCCCCTCGCACCATTCCTTTTCAATGTCACACTGGAAGTCCTAGCTAATGCAGTAAGACAAGAAAAGGAAATAAAAGGCATACAGAGTGGGGATGGAGAAATAAAACTCTGTCCACAAATGACACAATTGTCACAATGTAGAAAATCTTCTTTCCCTGCTCAAAACCCTACATCAAATTTCATTGTATATAGGATACAATTCAAAGTCCTTAAAACGTCCCTTAAACACCCCTGACTCTCTGCAGACACTCTCCTTTTCTCACTCTATCCCGGTTACTCTGACCATGCAGAGCATCACACCCTTCCATCTCCCTGGTTCTTCAGGCCTGCTCTTTCTTTGCCTGAATCTTATTCCCTCTCCAGGGCTCTGGCAGAAGGGATGTCTGACTTCACCCTGGTTCTGCTGCACAATCCCCTTGTGCCCACTTGCTGCCACTCCAAACCTTGCCAGTTGGCCTCAGGGGTGTCTCTGAAGCTATGGGAGTTGCTCAGCCAGAGGAACTTGTGGGTGGGGTGGGGAAGCAATCATCAGTCTTGGAGGATGGAAGTCAGAAAAATGTCCAGCCTTCCAACCCTCAGGCAGGCAATTCTGAGGTGCGTTCCACACGGTTCCCTCTGGGGAACACCCACCCAGATTGAGCCCCTAGTTGTCCACACAGGTAACCAGCTTGATAATGCATTCTGTTAACTTTCCTGCCCTCCCTGTCTCACTTTTCTCCCTACTTCCTCTGTGTGGTTTCCTGGATCAGTCTCCCAAATCAATGTCCCAAATCCACTGCTTGTGGGGGAACCCAGAGGAAGATAAAGATTTAACATAATTATGACTTCCTCAAAGAGTTCTTCTCTGATAACACAATCTATATTTGTTGTCCTTTTAATATTCTCTGGCAACATTGTATATCTTTCCTTCAGAGAAGCAGTTATAATCCATAATCATGTTACTGTGTTATTGTGAAAAGTGACTCCCTGTCTAGATTGAAAGCTTCATGGGCTAGTGGCTGTTTCCCTGATTTGCTTGCATATTGAGAACACATGACAGGCACTGAGGACATTTTTGTTATTTTTGTTGTAGGTGTTCAGGACAATAAATAAATGAATCTTAGATGAAAGAATGGGGATGAATGTGGAGAGGTGGAAAGTAAATTTTAAAACTAAAAAATTGATCTAGAATCTAGATTTTTGGTTGCAGTTTGGCACACACAACTTCATGAGATTTTGACAGTGGATACAAATTGGAAGATGCTAGAAACACTAAGGAGAAATGCAATCGTGGGCAGGTTTCTTCGATTCATCTTGTATCCACTCCCCTCAGCATTTGGAACTTTTCTGTGAAATAAAATGCATTTGATCAATATGAGTGATCAATCACATGAAAAAATCTCACAGAGACAGTGTTTTTGTTTTAAGGTCTTTGAATTTCTAGAAAAGACTGGTTTGTCCCATTCCAAATATATATATATATTTTTAAGATTTTATTTTTTCCTTTTTCTCCCCAAAGCCCCCCGGTACATAGTTGTATATTCTTCGTTGTGGGTCCTTCTAGTTGTGGCATGTGGGACGCTGCCTCAGCGTGGTTTGATGAGCAGTGTCATGTCCGCGCCCAGGATTCGAACCAAAGAAACACTGGGCCGCCTGCAGCGGAGCGCGCGGACTTAACCACTCGGCCACGGGGCCAGCCCCCCATTCCAAATATTTTTGATCACCTGATTCTGTTCTTATTCTAATCCCTATCCATTTTCTTATAAACTTTCATCTTCGCGTTTTTACTTTTTCTAGCAGCTTCCAAGTCTTTTATCTCACGTATACTCATAACCACCCAGTTAAGAGACTTGGCGAATTCCATTATTGCAGGTGCATTAACAATGGGGCTTCCCGACGGCCCCGGATCAGGTAACTGCACCGGGCGGGGCGTGGAGCAGTCAGTCTGGTTACCTGCCGAGTGCATTTCACTCCGTGCCACAGCGACTTTCCTTCCCTGCTGGCAATCCCATCTTGGATGGACATTCCCATGAATTTAATTATGGTCTATCAAAATATGGCCAAAGCCGCTAAAATTTCCAGATCGCTGCAAGTTGTCAACACACCTTCTACTGAATTAATTCTCCTTCTCATCCCTTGGCTCGAGTCGTCCACACGCGGCCGACAGCAAACACGCCGGCGGACAGACCCCGCAGACGGCGCTCCCCGTCCTGACCCGGGTTTACTCATCAAGAGGACAGTGTTCCTGTTTGCGGGGCCTGGGGACGCGCCGCGGCCCCTTCGTCTCGCAGACACCACCGCACGTGTCCTCTCCAGGGAAAGGCGCGCGTGGAGAGGGCAGCTCCGTTCCAGGGCCCCACAGCAGCCGGGTGGACTCCCTCTCCAGCACGGAGAACACACACCGGCTCCCGCGTCCCCTCTGCCGCGTGAGCACGGGGATGGAGACGACTCCACCGGGTGCAAGAGCCCCTCGCGCTAATGCGCCCGCTCGTCCCGCGTCCCGCGCGGAGCGGCTGCACCTTCCCAGGTGTTGGGTGCGCGTGGGATTCGCCGGCTAACTTTTCGGCGCGCAGCGGGGTGGGGGGGCCGCGGATGGCGGGGGCGTGCTCGGGGCGCCTGGGGTCCCTCGCTGTCCCCGCGTGACCCGCCGCTCCCCGCGCCACAGGTGGCGGGCCGGGCGGTGCGCTCCTCGGGCCATGCGCTCTGGGCGGGGGCGGGCCGGGGTCGCAGGGGTCGCGGTGCCCAGGCCTGCCCCGCCACCCCCACCCCGCGCGCACGGCCCTTCTCCCCAAGCCGCGCCGGCCGCCCCCCAGTGCGCCGGTGCCTCCCCGGACGCCCAGTGCGCAGGCGCCGCCGCCAGGACCGACCGTGCGCGGCTCGAGCGGTCGGAGCCGCGGCGGCGGACGGAGAGCGGACAGACGGACGGACGGACGGGCAGACCCACGAGCCTCCTCCCGGCCTGAGGGGCCGGCCCGCCATGCCGCGCTGCTCCCGCTGAACCAGGAGCCGAGGATGTCCGCGCTGAGGAAGGTGCGAGCCCCGGGGCCCGGAGCGCGCGGGGTCGGGAACGGGAACGGGAACGGGGCCGGCGGGGGCGCGGAGCCGTCGAGGTGCGGGGACCCCGCGAGGGCGGGGGCCGGGGCTGGGTGGCCGGGCACCTCTCCCGCAGCGGGTCCCGCGCCGAGCCCCGTGCTCGTGCTGCGCGTCGCTGGCTGCGGGTGGGGGTCCCTGGACCTGGGCTCCTGGGGGGAGGGCGCGGAGCGGGCGCCGCGGAGCCGGGACAGTCTGCGCGCGGCGGCCCCGGGGAAGACCGGGGGGCGCGGGCTGGTGGGGGCTGCACGCCCGGCTCCCGCGGGGCCTCCGCAAGGGGTGGGGGCGGCCGGCATCGCCCCGCGCCTCCCCCCGAGCGCAGGTGGGGCGCCGACTCGACCCGGTGCATGGCAGCGCGCGCGGGGGCGCGGGGCCGGAGGGGCCGCTGGTGCCGGGCGGCTCGGCGGCAGCGACGGGGCCGGGGGTGCGCGGGAGGGCGGCCGCCGCCCGCTCCCGAGTGGGAGCGCGAGCTCGGGGGCTTTTGGGCGGTTGCTAAGCGCGGCGCTCCCGGCGCAGGACCGTAACCAAGCCTCCCCCGGCCGCGCGGCTGCTCTCGGCTCGCTCGCTCGCTAACGATCGGGGGAGAAATAGCGAGGAGGTAATTAGCACCGCCTGCGCGGGGCCCGGGGGCGGCGGGGGCCGGGCCGGGGCCAGGCGGGGGCGCGGGCTCTGCTGCGGGCCAGGTGGGGCCGGTGGGTAGGGGCGCGAGGCCACCGGCTCCCTCCGCGCGGTGCCGGAGCTCGGAGCAGAGTGGACCGAGGACCTGGACCGGGGACCGGGGGCCTGGGAGAGGGAGTTGGAGGGCGGGGAGAGGGCGACGAGGCAGAGCGCCCTAGAGATGGCAGAGGTCGCAGGTGCGGAGTGGGGGAGCGTGCCGGCTGGCCGGCGATTCGCGTCGGAAACTCAGAAGCAGCCTCCCCTGCTCTGGCTCGTCCACACTTCTCAGCTAACGCGGGTCCAGCCGCCTGCGTGTCGCTTCTCCCGAATGAATGGCGATTCGGGCCACGGCTTGCATTGGGGGTTCGGGACTCATCGGCCGGCTGTCTTGTATCGATTACGAACAGCGCGATCGGCAGCTGGTTCTCCCTCTGTGCGTTGGTTCCGCCAGCACCCAGCACGGGCCGTGGGAGGTGTTAGCTCGAGATGCACAGCGAACCGCTCTGTCCTCGGACGTGGAGGCTGGAGAGGGCCCCGGAGGCACTTCCGACAGGGGCTCTCCTGGGGCCTGAGCTGTGCGTCCCGTGGCCTGCTCTGCTATGTAGACGGGGACAGGGCGTTGGATTGGAACTCTCGGACCTGACGCCTGTGACCAGCGAAGGCTGTTATGTGCAGATGGTGGATTAATCGTATTAGTTAGCAGAAAATCACCCGGCTTCTCAGCGTAGCCTTGGGGAGTCCGTGCACCACGTCCCAGAGGGCTCGCTCCGGGTCTCTGGGCTGGCGGAACAGAACCCCCTCCCCCGCTCCTTGGAAGGAACAGCGTTTAGATCTGAGCTGAATGTGCATTACACCACCATTTTCATTTTACTTCATATTCCCATGAAAGGTAATAGGTAACCAAGGCAAAAAATGGTGAAATGATGAAAAAATGGTAATTTTTGGCAGGTCAAGTTGTTACTCTGGTGTTTAAAAAAATATCATTAATCAGGATTTTCCAGTAGCCAAATTGTCTTGTGCAGGCAGCTGGGTGACTCACAGGTTTGGCTCTCATAGTAATTGTAGAGTGTGTACCATTGCTTTTCAGATGGTGTGGCTCTTTGTTGCTTGCAAGAGAACAAATTAGGATATTTTATTCCCCACATCTGGCAACGTGACTGGCAGACTGTGGGGATACTATGGGCTCGCACATCTGGGCTGTGGGAGTTCTGGACCCACTGGACAGACAAGTAAGAAGTAGGCCTGTGGTAAAGCTCACTGCCTCTCCCACCCTCGCTTCAGACTCCCTGTCCCCCGTCAGGTCAGGGGGTTCCATCAGTGGGTTTATTCCCAGTGGTGGCCTGTCAGGGAGCCGCTCCTTTGTCAACTCTCCGTGCTGTTCCCTCTGTTCTGGGTTAAGAAGTCAGTGAGCCCCGAATGACTGATGCCCGGGATCCATCATGTCAAGTCTGCACATTACATTTTAGGTTAAAGGGAATTCTTAGTGAGCAGAATGGGTGCTATGTCACATAGTGCAAAGTGATGAAGTAATTAAAATTAAAGTTTTCTCACCACAAAGATGTTTTCTCAGATAAGCTTTCTAAGTCAACTTTTCATGCTGTCAATCACTTACTCCCTCTCCTTCCAGAAAACTTTGCGTTACGGTATAGTTACCCAAAAGGGTACTGCTTGAGACAGATAAACTTGTATTTATTCACCAGTGTTTTTGTTAGGGTTAAGATATTTTAACAATATTTTTGTATGCCTTAGGTGACTTGTGATGTGAATGAATTAGTAACAGTATTTTTCTATTTTTAGAGAGTTCGGTCACTTTGCATTGTTTCTCCCCAGTGACGTAAATATGCCATCCTGTGGCAATCTGTTACTTCTCCTACTTTTGTCTACTTCATTTTTGAAATTGGTAGAAATTCCAAATTAACTATTAAAAGCAAAAATAGGGGGCCATCCCCATGGCCGAGTGGTTAAGTTCACGTGCTCTGCTTCGGTGTCCCAGGGTTTTGCTGGTTCGGATCCTGGGCGTGGACAGCGCATCACTTGTCAGGCCATGCTGAGGTGGCGTCCCACATGCCACAACCAGAGGCACTCACAACTAGAATATACAACTATATACTGGGGGGATTTGTGGGGAAAAAGCAGGAAAAATAAAAGAAGATTGGCAAGAGTTGTTAGGTGCAAAACTTTAAAAAAAATAAAAAAAAAAAGCAAAAAAGGTGCTTTGCAGAGTTTGTCACATTGGATTCCGGATACTTGGAAGCTGACTAATTCTGAAATTAAGAGGATCTAATATTTTTTAAATTGTTGGAGGATTTGCCATCTCTGTTTTTTCCAGAGTACCTTCCATAACATGCCTACATGATGAAATTGAAGAAATGCTGAGGTTATTTTATAACTATATTTGAGAAAAAACTTCATGATTTCTCAGTTGTCCAAGGAGTTGAATGATGTACAGTTCGATTGCAAGTTCTAAAGAGACATTAATTAGACGTATTATTTACCGGCCCTGGGAACGGATGTGCTGTGGTCATCCATTGGACACAATAAAAATAACTGTGATTCATCATTTTGGACAGATGGGAGTCGTATGTAGAGCGTTGCCAGCATGTTGTTATAAGAGAATTATAGACTACCATGCAGGGGCCAGCAAGACATTTATTCAGTTAAAAATCATTCCTAATCCACCATAGTTTTACGTACAAGTTATTTTTATCACATAACCATATTCCTAGCTGATCGCCAACTTTTAAAATATGTTGTTTTCTAGGTACTTGTGTGCGAAGAGCGAGCATGGTTCATTCTGTGTTTATTCACGACAAGACACTCTCGTTTTTGGGGAGCTAGGTGGTGGGCTTTGGCATCCAGAGTGTGGTTCACCGCATGCAGATTCTGGTTAAATCTTGCTTTTGCTGTTGGAAGAGCATTCACCTTTACAGTCACCCTTTCCTTCCAGGGCTTAACAGCAGTGACAAATAACAGATTTGAGTCAGTATTAATCTCCCTGGCAAAGGAAATTGGACTTCGTATGTAAAACCACTGTTTTCCTTTGTCATAGCATTATTCTGTGTACCGGCTTCATCTGCTTATGCAAAAGCTTCTCTCAGACTGCAGCTCCCAGGGCCCTCACATTGTCCCTACTTGTCGCCCATCAGGGTGACCGCCTGTTTCTTTGGCTGCTCTGACATTTCCCACAAACAGCGTCGGCTGTAGTCACTCTTAAGAGAAGCGGTCTCTCTGGAGTTGTTGCCAATAGGTCCTCTGTGCTGGGTGTCAGTCAAGTTCATCTCTATCTCCGTCTTTCTTGGTGGACCCTCAAGGAGTTAAACTTACTAGACCGGTTTTACTAGGCACCCTTCCAGGATAACTGCAGTGGTTTCTTTGGAGAGTCACCCTTGCCCACTTATAAGGTTTGGCTGTGGCGGACCCACTGTCTGTTTAGGGGTGGGCTCCTGGTTGGCTAAAGGAAGTCACAGAACACCACCCATCTCTCAGGAGTAAGTGTGTCAGAGAAGAACACGGCATTTTATTTGAGCCAAGAATTATGTACGCCTTTTGAGGAAAGGGGAGGTTTAGGAAGTGAGGCTAACCAGATCCAGGGCCTGGAGTGGTGGTGGTCGGCCTGCAGCCTGCAGGGGACGGCCCGCCTGAGAAGGCAGCCAGCACAGGAGAGGCCCGTCTCTGGGCAGGGCCCAGCTGTGCTGGAGACCGCTTGGTGCAACGCCGTCGTTGAAGCCCTGGATCATGTCGTGTCTGAAACCGTCGTGACTGCTTCGTTTTCAGTTGTGTAAACCAAGACACTCCCCCCACCCCCCCTTCAGAGTGGCTTTTCTGTCCCTGACGACCAAATGGGATCTGAGGGTTTTTAGTTTCTCTAAAAATTTCCACATTAAAAAAATTTTCTCATTGAGGGGCAAGATTTGTCCATTTTCAGGTGATATTTTGGTCAGTATAACCTTTTTCTGTGTGTCCACAGAAAAAAAAGGAAAATTAAAATTGGTGCTACAAGGAAAAAACATTGTCAACCAGCCCATTGGTAAAATTGTAGCAAAAATTTTAAAAAGTAACTTTGTAAATCTCTTTGGTCAGTGTCTTTAAAGTGATGTGCTATACTCTGCAAAAAAGGAAAAAACATTGAAATGATCCCTTGGGCCCATACGGTATATATTTTGAACTAGTCAATGTAAAATTATACTCTGGTGATTAGTGAAAATGTGTCCTACTGTTTTTGTGTGGCACCGACCAGCAGTGTTTATATTGGCAGCATAAGTAGTGGTCAAGCGTGCGGGTTC